TTACTCCTCGCGTTCTTATTCTGTCTTTTTTTGATTCGATTGATTAGTCCTTTTTCTATAATCTTCCTACCAGATTCTTCCAGCAACAAGGGGTTAAACGGTCCTCCGGTGGAAAATACTCAGTTCGGTTCTTGTGCCGCCACGCCCTCTTCGATGACCGACAGCGGAGATCTATCTACCAGTGCTCGTGGTCCAACTTCTATTCACCCAACCCCGCCAATCACTACTGCCATCTCAACCTCTATTAGTGCGCCACCAACTAATAATTCAGCCACCACGACACCAGCTAAATCATCGACTTACACATTTGATCCGACTGCGCGTTCCAAAGAGTTACCAACTGATCCATCCGCTCTTCGAACTAATTTGGCTGCAATACGTCCCCAGGGACCTGGAGAAATACCACAAGTTGGACCAGCACCAGTATCGCAACCACCCACTCTTGCCTCTGGTGATACGTTTATCCCAAATCCGGTGGATGGAGCATTTGGCCATAAGGGTACCATGAACAAAGCTCATTTAAATCCAGTTACAGCATTGGTTCCTCCAATGGTCGGTATTCCTGACGGTGGTGCAACACTGACCCAGGAGCAGTGGGAAAATCGAAAGAGTAAGATTGCTCAATTGGAAAAGATTCACTCCACGTTGAGCAAGAGTAAAAGTGCCTCCACTCCGGGAGCTGTGGCGGCGGCCGCGGGAGCTGTGTTACAACAACAGCAACATCGTCTTCAGGGTGCCGTGGGGCCACCGCCAATGCCGCCAAGCTCATTGGCACAACCACCTGGATCCCTTCCTCAACATCCTTTGGGTATGTTCCAGATCGTTATTTAATGGATTTTTATCCGGCCTTCTGGTTCTCAAATACATTCTGTTTTTGAACGGGCAATTTATTCAATCTATATTTGCTTATTGTTTATTGATTTTTGTCCTTTTTAACGATGTTTCACTAAAAATAAATGTATCCAAACCTCTAAAAAATTACCTGAAGCGGCTTCCTGATGCATATTAGTATCACCATGTAAAATTACTCATCATGTGCGTATTCTATACCGACAATTCTTGATAAGTACAAGCCGATTTATCATTTCTTCCATTGTTTCCAGTGTCCATACCCTGTCTGCTTTTACCGTTTTTCCAAATGATAAAGTTTAAAACAATAAATTTTTTGTTTGATGCATAACGTATGTGGCATGCTTTATCGTCTTCTGTGACTTAATGATAGTTGTTTGTCTCCTTTGTATTTTAGGGCCATTATCCATTGCTCTCATGTCATTTCGTACATCATATGTCCCAACCAAGCCACCATCGTTGAATGTCCACTTTCCTCCTTATTGTTTTAATATTTTTTATCAGACTTTGTACAATCGTACCATGAACATTGATCAAATGTTAACTAGTGGGGAAAATTATTGACGATTTATTGCTACTAGAAGTGAAACTTGAGCACGCAAGTTCAAATGATTCACTTGAGAATGCGTCGACGCACTTTTGACAACTCCAGCTCAAAAATTCTACTATCCTGATTTGTGGTCTGTTTCTACTTTTTAATTACTGCTCACCAATAACTCACTACAAGTTAACGATTGCAAGCAATATCTCCCGATTTTTCCTCATCCCGTTTGCTCAATATGCTTTATTTCAGGTGTAAATGCTCCTGTTGGTTTCGGTTCTCCTCATTATGCTGGAGGACAGCGTCCGACTGGGATGGATACATATAACAGTCCGCGACCTGTCATGATGCCTGGCGCACCACCTAGCGAAATGGCTCAACGTGAGTGGGATCGTTTGTGTATGGATTATCAGC